TGCAATCGAATACTTTATCTCAAGCGAATTAAATCAATTTAATTTTCAAATTAAAATAATTTTAACTTAATTTTTTTTAGATCTTTTGTGTTGGAGAAAAACAAATTTTTCTGTTTACGGTTTTGAGCGAAACCATTGCCTGCAAGCAGATTTAGTTTTCAGAATTTTTATTTTCATTCTTTCCAGCTTTTTCCACAACATTTTCTAGAATTTAACAAGTGCTAGAAGCATGAATGTTGAATAGCTTAGGCATCCAGAATTTTTTTAATTCATAATAACAGGTTTGAATTTATTAGATTCGTTTTTACATTTTCCTTCCAGCTGTAAAAGTAAAAATTAAAAGCAAACTCGGAAACTAAATGACAATCGAAGCACTTTGTTTTCAAACTGAAGAAAACAGTAAATGCCGAAAAATAAACTTTTTTAAACGAGAACTGAAATTTTTGAGAGTTAAAGGAACAAAACAGTGCTTTTAAAGTGGCAAAAGTTTTGTAATTTGAGATGTATATTTTGAAGGATTCATTGATGAAATTCAATAAAAGAATTAACAGAGAAACAATCAACATTTAAAATTTTAGTAAAATGCTTAAATTTTAGAGAAAAATTATAGTTTGAATAGATTCCGGAAAGTGAAACGAAAGACATCTTTGATAATTCAAAGAAAAAAGAGAGTTTTGAATTAGAATTTCAGTTGAGTATTAATGATGAAATTCACTTCTAATAAATTTACATTAGTCATGAAATTTAATTCAAGAATACAATCTGGTGTGGTGCAAAATTTAATGGTTAACATCATCGTCTAACTTTTTTTCTAATATCGCTAAATTTTCCTGCACATTGACAAATTTAGCAAAAAAGAAAGAATTGATAAGAATTGATACCGCACTTCGATTATTTGTATAAAAATATTCATTTATTGACTCATATATAAAATTTAGTGGTGTGAAATTTAAAATATCAAATTTTTAAATTGTTGGGAATAAAATTCTCTGTAAATTTTGATTGCCCAAAAATGGCATAATTGAATGATAATATATGTTTAGCATAAGAATCATTGTTGTAACATCGGATATTATGCCCAGCCGAAAAATTAGCCATCATATATTTAATATGAATATCTGAAATTTTTTAAAAAATGCATGAAAAATTTTAAATTAAAAAAAATAATTGGAACAAACTTGGATCTTGGCTAGGGATAAATCCTGGTGGCGCACATCCATAGATAGCTGCTGATATAATCAGAATGATAATAATAATTGGCTGTAGTATCATCATCATCAATAATCGTTAATCGTAGTCAAATTAGAAAAATTATTGATCGTAGATGAATTTCTTTTCCTGTTTTTTCCTTTAAAAAAAAAAAAAAGAAAAAAAAAGGCGATAAAATAAAAATATATTTCAAAATTGAATCATACAACTGAATAACAGAATGACAACAATTCAGGTGGACGGATGATTATTGGTTCGTTTAGACAGATATGAGAGAATATTTGATTGTCCGCATAGTATCATTAGCTTTCGCTCCTCATTTTAGTCCATTTATGAAAAATTTTACCATAACTTTTTAGATAGAAGTAATGCGAAGAGAGGAAGAAAGGAAGATAAAGAGCATGATAACAGGAAGAGATAGAGATAGAGATAGAGATAGAGATAGAGATAGAGGGCAGATTGCTATTCGGATTGATGATGGATAAATTGGACATGGTTTATAGAGATAGGTAATACCTGTTCAGGTATAATCCATATAAGGCCTATCCATACAGCTAGGTTACCATTATTATTGTTATTATTATTATTATTATTATTATTATTAAGGGAAAATTGAGAGAAACGATTTTCAACCCCAATCATCATCACTTCCTCTTTGTCCTCTTCTCGTTTCCTTAGCTTTCAATTCAACTAGATTTTTGTTAATAATTTACTAAATTCGTCCATTTTCAAATCGTTATTGTTAGGGGGAAGAGCAGAGAGAGATGATGGGGAGGAGAAATTTATGAGATGAAATAGATATAGGTAAATGCATAATACATGCAAATGTATTTCCGCTTAAAATTCAAGTCAACAAAATGATTTATCAAATTTCGATATTTCGAATTCATTTGGTGTAATCATGTTCCTGGTGCAACAAATATAATTCCATGGAGACATCATTTAGCTTTGTTTACATTGGTTAAATTATGGATGAGAGAGAGAGAGAGAGAGAGAAAAAAAAACGGAAAAAAATTATAGCCTATTACATTCAAAAGAAAATGACTCAGATTTTTTTTTATTTCTCTTTTTCATTGATATGTTAAAAATAATTCAAAAAAAAATAATAATAATTCAATATTTTATTTGTTTTGAAAGCAAAAAAAAAAAACAAACAAATTTAAAAGCAAAATTACAATGGCGAAAATTTTGTGCAATGATTAATTTTGTTTTGTGTGTGTGTGTGTGTGTTTTTTTTTAAACAAAATAAGTTAAACATTTTGCATAATAATTGTAACCATTCACGCAACAATTAATGCATACTATGATTTGATCATTTTTAGATTGATTTTTTTGCAAACTTATGATAATTTGAAAATATTGATATTAACAAAAAAAAAAAGAAGCAAAAACGACAAAACTAATCGACATTTCATTCAAATTAAAAAAAAAAAGTGATCAGTTGAAAATCCCATCACTGAAAACGTCAATGCCTCTTTTTTTTCTTTTCTTCTTACTCAAAAATACAATTTGGAAATCGTCAAAAATTCAAAATGCATTTCATTTTTTTTATTTTTCTTCTCGAAAACTTTTCTCGTTTCAATTTTTAAATATGATTTCACCATTGTTACAAAAATTTCTTGAAGTATCTTCAACAATTGTTTGTGGCTATAATTGTATGATTATACTTTTGTTAATATCGTCCCTGTTGCTTTTTAATGAATAAAGAGGAATATATGAAATAGATTAGATTACTTTTTTTTTTCCTAAATTTTCAACTGTGACCGAAATTTTCTAACCCATCAATAGATCAACTTTCATCGATAATACAAAAAAAAATATTGGATTAAATATAGGTCGGATTCTTTTTTTCCACAAAATTTCACAATAATGATTTATTTTTTGAATTCTTTAAATGGAATTGACCTATTGCTGCTTAATAACATTTATTTCAACGATTTACATTCCTAGAATAATGTAAATAACATTGGAATTGTCACTTTTCATCAAATATTTAAATTGCATTTCAAAACATACTGTATCGATTAAAACTATCCAAAAGAAAAATTAACTTCAAAAAAAAGCAATGATTGAAAAATTAACCTTCCAATTATGCTATTAATAGTATTTTTAATTCGTATTTTCTTAAATTCACCGAGTTTACTGTTGTTTTGCTATTGATTATGCTGATAAAAACACCGATAACAATTGTTTAATTAATGATTTACTGATTTTCTTGTAAATTTACCAATTTTAATAAATTGGCTATTTTTATAAGTTCCAAATAAGTTATAAATAACGTTAAGTAAAAGTAAGCATAAAATATTAAAGAAAATTGGACAATTTATCAATTTATTAATTTGTATAAATTATCCAATTTTTTCAAGCAACTTTCTAATTTTTCATTATCACTTCTCGCTTTATCTTACTAAATTTTATATTTGACAAATAATTCATTAGTTATCAAAAAAAAAATTTCAAAAATTTGGAAATAGACAGGAATTATGAAAAAATTAAAAAACCATCTTTTATGTGAGGATTACAAATGATAGTATTAGAAGGAGCATTTTTTCCGATTACCATTTTGATTGATATAAATAAAATTAGCCAAATTACCAATATTCAGAAAATTGGTTAATTCAACACAACATTCATGAAATTTACCGATATTCGGAGAAATTGATTGATTCATCTCTTATCACTGCCATTCTTCACTTATCGAAATTATTAATTGCTAACAATTTCTAAGAAATTGATTAAATTTTTGATCATTTGATATTACACTTTCATATGTATGTTTTATTTTAGTTTTTTAATGAAAAAAAGAAAATGAAAGAGGTGTAATTTTAGTACAAAAAGTAACTTATTTTCAGACTTTATAACTATTAATATTATTGAAAATATCCTTTGTTGCAGAAAAAAGGAAGAGAGAGAGAGAGAGTGAGAGTGAGAGAAAGGTATAGAAGTAAATTTGAATAACGTATAAATCTCAGTAATTACTTTTTATTAATTTCTATATTATTCGTAAAAATTTGCTAAAAAATTTTTTATCGTCTGCTATTATCTGTTATTTTAGACATTACTGTTTAAATAAAATTCAATTCAGATTTGAATTTTTCCTTAAAATCGTATACAGGTGGTATAAATGATTTCTTGTTAATAATTCCACCATTACAAATCATCATGTTAAATACATTCAGAAAAATCTTTCCTGAATATATATTCCAGAAATGATAAAGCCTTTGCATATCTGAACTCTTCTTTTCTCCTAACTTTCCTTTTTTGACAATCAAATCATTATGTAAAACTTAAGATGGAGGCACATTATGCCCATTGAACAGAATGACCTCAAGAATTCCCGACATTTAGGAGTCAATAGAATTTACAAAAAAAAATATCATCATATGATAATAGTATGTTGATATGATGCTAAGAATGTCGACAAATGAGAAAGAGTAAGGAATAAAGAAATGGACGGTTGAGAGAATGTGTGTGAAGTGAGAGAAATTAGGAAAGAGTGTAGGATTGAGATAGTATTCATTTGATGAGTAATGTTTGTGGCGAAACACGAAAATTCGATTAATTTTCTTCTTGACAGATTTCAGGACGATTGTTGTTGTATTTGGTAATTCGAGAGGATTCATGGAAAGATTGCGTTAATTTCTACTTCAATTTTTTACAAAACACTCTAATAGCTTCCGGTGTAACTGTTAGCACATTTGATTACAATTATGTTTGATATTGATAGATAATATATGATAATTTAAGTATGTCATTTCTGTAATCGTCAATTTGATGAATTAAATGAAAGGATGAATTCGCAAAGTGACGAAGTACGCGTTCTATTGAATACATGCAATAAAATTTTCGTCCAACGTGACTATTCAAAAGGACTGGGCGTCCAGTTTGAAACCACGTTTCCAGTTGCGCTTGAAGGGAAGGTAAGCATTTGGTAATAATATTCTTGAAATGAGTTTTCAAATCAACTAATGATTAGAATTATTTATATTGTCTTCTAATTTCTAATTTCAATCTGTTGATTGTTTCTTGTTGTTAACATGAATCATTTAGTATTCTTAGTTTTTAGATTCAAGCGTTTAGATATCGTATCACTCATCCAGAGGTTGAAATTCAAAAAATATTGACCTCAAGGAAACGGTTAAAATGCTACATTTTAATACTTCAAGTTGAAGTCTAAATTATTGCTATCAAAAAGTTGGAATTGAATCGGAATTTCGAAGCAAAGGATTGCTGTATCCAACTGAAACAAACTGTTTATAATTCATTGGTCTGGTGAAAAGATTGTTTTTTAGATCAGTGAACAAGCATGGGCATATACAATTAATACGCTCAACTCGTACTACACCAAAGCTGAAGAAGTTTGCTGCGCAACCGTACTCGAAACACTAACCGGATGTCTTTCATGTTACCTTTCCAGGCTTTTTGTAAAGGTTTGTTTTTCGAATTCTGGATTTTCAATTTAAATGAAGAAAAACTAAGAAGCGTGATGAAGACTACACTCTACGGGTGTAATATGGTAAGAACATAAAACTGATTAAACCATATTTTGGGAATTCAAATGAAGCCTAACTTCGAACTTTGTGGTGAATCAGTGATGAATATTTTTTTTATAGCAATTCATAGATTTCAAATTTGACCCGAGCTTTTTTTTCATTTTTAAACGACATTTTGTTCATGGGATAATTTTTCCATGCTTTAATAAATATTTACATGCAGACACAATACGAGAAATCATTAATGGAAATTAGTCGGTTTTTGGCAGAACAAAATACGAATGTATACCTTCCATCAGGTGTACATTTGACAGATCCCATTCAGCGTGGTCTCCGTGTGGTAAGAAATCACTGTTTTTTGGAGTTTTAATGTCATAAAATCACTTGATAAAACTGCAGTGAGTAATCAGGTTAACATAATAAAACTTAAGCTTATATGACAGTATGATAACTAATGTGATATAAATTTTATTACCAAGTAACAAATATACTTGGTGATGGGATAGCAGTCGGAAAAATCATCGTTTAAATTGATAAGTTTATGCTGTTTAATGATATTCAAGAGAAGGCCAGTAGGCTTTTTCCAGATTTTATAGCTAATTTTAGGAATAAACATTTACTCTTTGGTAAATTTGAAGGCAAAACAAGTTTAAGGTGTATATGTTAATTACTTGAAATAGATCTGTTCCAGTTTCTCTTCATAAGTTTAAATTTAAGTCAAGTGAATGGTTAAAATTACATAGATTTTATGCTTTGCGGACTTTTACATTGTCATCTTAAAAATTCTAACGTTATCCATTCTTTATTTAATCAGAATATATATAATTAAAGATTGGAATCCTTGGTTTTGATTTAGAATCTTGGGACTTAAAGGATTTTTTGTTCTCTTTTCAACACTCACGATTTTTTGGATTAGTTTGGAAACTGAACTTTTTATGGATGTATATATGATGTTATTTCAACTTTCAGAATTTGCTGCAAAATTTTTTGAACTAAAAATTAAACTCTGTTTCAGTTCGAGATCAGTTTAATACAAACATCACATCAAAGTGATGTAACTCCAGAAGCAAATTATGCCTTAGGCTTGGATGGAACAAAGTAGCCTGCGTATCTCACTAATTATTCGTGATATTATTATATGTTAATATGCGATTATTTTTCATCTTATCTTAGTTCTTTCTCTGACATATGACTCTTTTTGGCGTGAGGGAAACAGATAGATTACCTCATACATATCGCATGAACACTCTCTGCTTTTCGTGTGATTTCTTATTATCACTTTTGCTTTTTTAACAATGTAATATAACTGTTCTAATGCTCGTACTACTTATCTGATTATCAACGATGGCTGAAAAAGGTCAATTAAATAAATTGGTGTGGTAATTTTTCGTGAATTAAACTATAATTATGTTTTTTAGTTGCATGCAATTGTGAGAAGTCACGGGAGATACATTGTGCTCAAGAGAAATAGGCAGTCATGATTGTTTTTTTTTTTTTGCATCAAATGTTTCTAGAGTTTTGCATATTATTTTTATGTTTGTAAAGTTGAATTTGAGAAAGAACTTTTCAACACGTACATACTTGATTGCCCCAACTTATATCTGTCGGATTTTGATTGTGCATATCGTGTTTTGTTATGTTACGTGTCTGTTATTTAGGAATGTAATATGTATATATCCATAAATTACATGTGCGTTTCGTATTTAAAATTTTTTAATATAGTTTTTTTTGTATGAATTCACCGCATTATCTGTTTTGGATGGGATGAGTTCCAAAAGCTGGAATTTGTTTTTCTGTAGTCTAAATATGAGAAGACATTTTAGTAGTTTTCTTAATTTTGTTTTGCAACGTAACAGACTCATTTTAACTTTTCTTTTTTTTTTTTTTTAAAGATAGCTTCTTGGTAAATGTTAATTTATAAGGAAATTCAATTAATTAGAAGTTTCATTTAACCATTATATACATGCATTCTTCAATTTGCTACATTATTACTCCACTGTGGATATCTTTGCTTTTTTTGCTCCATTACAATCCCATTCCCGTCTGTCATATTACTGCCAAATGCATTATAAAATTTCCTTTCGGCCACTTCCCTATTTCTTTCAAGTTTTGAGGGGGCTTTCAAGTTCATCGGTTCCTTTACTGAAACGTTTTGTTTGATAATTTCTAGTGGAATAAGCTAGGGTAGTATCCCCATAGAAAAATTAACTTCATTTTTAGCCAAGTGGATTAAGTCAACGGATGATATATGTTGTGGAATGAAATTTAGGAGATGAAAGTCTTTTCCAGGTGAAATTTATTTTGATAAACTTCTATCGTTCATTTAACTTGTAAATTATGGAATGAAATTATGGTATGCTAATCGACTTTCAGATATCATTTTGTACAAAGACTTCCACCAATGCCTGGTAATCTTGTATCGAGCTTGTAAATTGAACATTTTATAAAAATTGAATATTTGCGTGCAAGAGAAATAAACGCATTGTTTCGTGGTAATGAGTGATGTTATCTAAATGGTAACAGTTGGCAATAATTTAACTGATTCAATTAACTTGACATAATTTTGAAGTAACACAATCATTATCAAAAACAAACAAAGCAATTGTATTGAATAGAATTCGGTAGTGCCAAATTAAAACGACAAAGTGGGAAAATCCCTACGAATGATAATTGACAACTTAGTCAGTTTTTTGGAGAATATTCCTTACCGTAAGTTAATAACGTGATTGGTTTTTTCAAGAGCATACCGAAAATATCGTTAAAATATAGTGTAACATTTACCATCTTTCATTTTCCAGAATGAAAATGGCCTAAGAAACAATTTAAAATGCCTATAAAATATGTGATGGTAAATTTCCACTTTGCCTTTATAATTTCAAGGAAAATTTATTTCCCCGTAATCACTATGTTAAACTGATATTAAATGTACAAAATACTCTTCCAGGAAAAAAGAATTAATTTTTAGAGTGGATGAAAAAGGATTTGAAATTGCGCTTTTTCCCTATCTGAGGCTTTCGAATGATAGAAACGCGCGGAGATTTGTGATGAAAATTTTGCCCATCAATTATAATTTTATTGGAAAATGAACTGAATCAGTTAGAGAAAAACAGTGAATATCAAAAATCGATTCGAATGTAACGCAATGATATCACTGAGTGGACATTGATTATTTACATGATACATTTTATTGAAAGGATTAGATGTTTACATATTATAAATCAACTGGTTGTTATTAGGTCATAATTCTTAGAAATTTTAAATACAGTAAATATTTGATTTCAATATTTGCTAAGTTTATTTCAATTTATTTAGAAAGAATTTAAGAAAAATATTGGAAAACTTTCTCACTTTTTGCTGATAATAACTTATTCGAATTCGAAAAGTATGAAAAAATGTTTTCACATTGTTAAGATCTTTTGAAATGATCAATGTGTAATTTTTAATGTCAATAAAATTCTGCAAGAATTAAAAGAGAAAAAAAAAATGGAGTAATACAGTTTTTTAAAATTTGCGAAAAAAAATTTTGATAAAAATGAACATTTTTTATAGAAGTAAATGAATTTTTTGCAAAAACAAATGTTAAATTCCAGTAAAGCAATAAAAATTTTTTAAAAATTAAATTTAATAGTTGAAATACCATTACAAAAAAGATCAAAAATTACTATTGAAACAATACACATATACGTTAATGTTTACATGCATTACACTGCATATTTTAGCCATTTGAAATTGCAAACGTCGTGGGTGGTCGCAAGCGTCTATCAGTGCCGAATTTGTTAAAACATCGTGTGTGGTCGTTTTGTGAAGCAACTTGTGATTTTGCTATTTTATTTTATGCAAAATTTATCGTTATTTAGTTTTAACAAATTTCATCGTACCAACTATTCATCACCAAAACATCAATTTCTCCAACAACAGAATACCGTAAGCTAATTGGCAAACGTTAATATGCTTGATAAAATTCAAAAATTTAGCTTCATTTTCGATATACAAATATAGGAGTCAATGTTTGTTTAAGTTTTGAAAAATCATTACAATCTTATAATTTCACAGTATGTAGCAATAACAAGTATGATGGAATAGTTTCAAAATTAACAAAAAATTCTTTCCAAATTTTTCTAAAGCTTTTATTGTTTTTTTTTTAAAAAATACTTTCTATAAATTATTTGCCATTTATCAATTGAAAGTTATAATATCGAATATCCTAAGTTGTCATTATAGTTTATTTCAGAAAGAGCCAAAAAAAAGATCGATAGAATTAGTAATTACTAATAAACAGTAAATTTGGAAATTTTTTCTTTAAATACTCCCTGTTATTTGAAATACTTTTTTGAAATTTAGAATTGAAGAAAAGGGAAAAGTTTAAGTAATTTTTTACTCTGAAGAAGATTATTTGTTTAAAGAATTCATAAAAATAAGCTTATTTCTATGAATATTTCTATGGTAACAGTTCTACTATTCAAATTGTGCGCAAATGGCGAAAGTATTAAATTTCAAACATTTAATGGATAATTTTTGAAAACTATTCTTGAAATCAAAAGATACATTATCAAAAGATACATTATCCTTATTTTCAGTTATTTTTTTTATTGTATAATGTTATTTTTTAATTGTTCAAATTTGTTAAATAATAAATGAACGCTGAGGAGATGATAACGTTTAATGATCCACCAAACTATATTATTGCTTTATTAATTTAATTTATAGTGTACTACAAAGTTATTATAGTGTATGTTAAGATAGCAGTGAATGAAAATGATTTTATTTGGACAATTTCAAGATTAAATATGATAATTTGAAAATATTCAATTTAAAATTTTTTAAATTATATCTTTTGTGCATATTGTATATTGCATATGCATATTACATATTGCAAAAATTTTTGGAAATATTATCATATACAATTATTAACAAGTATGTCGGTTCTCATTTTTTTCTTCCTTTGATAAAATTCTAAATGTTTGCATTAACTTCAGAAAAGTTTTGACTATTCTGATAGTTTTAATACCGGATAAATCGTATGTTAATTAATGATAATAACAAATTGCTTAATATGGATAAATCATCTGTTAATCACTGATAACAACAAACAAATGGACATTATCAGTTAATTTAATATCAGGTTACTTTTTTTTCCAGATTAATTGCTCCTCATCCATTTTTTTATTTAATTCAAATTTGCTTTTCAATACTTCCACAAGTATTTTTAGTATCGTACAAATATATTCTGCATTTACACCGAATGAAAAAACTGATCTCAAATCACTATTTCGAATCAAAAATAGAATTGTAACAAAAATATCCTCCTATTAGCTTGTAGCGCAAAAGTTTGCAGCTTCAACTGTTCGCGTCTTTCAGTTGATAATCTTGAATTATATGTTTCTTTACCAGCTAAAAATTTGGTCAAATTCTTGCAATTTGGTTGAAAATTCAGCAGTATATCATTTCCTGATTTCA